TGGAAAACAATTTTAAACAATATACTATAACGCACGCCACACAAACACGCAAACGACTGATTACAACCCTGTGCTGGTACCGAACTCGTACCAAGAAGGCGAATTCACCAATGAACGCTGCCCTTTCCATCTGACACTGGGCGATCACGTGAACATCACGCTTCGGTTTTGTTATGTTTTACTCTATCTTGGATTTGGATAGACTTTAGATTTCAAGAGGACATACTTAACCTAATTTGCAGCAAAAACATTGAAATTGAATAACAAATCATTCATCAATCAAGATTGAAATAGGATTCGTTTGAAAGAAATTGGCACTCTGCATTGATTGATGGCCAGAAAAGTTCAATAATCATATTTTAGTTAAAGCTAACCTCGATTTTTAAGAAATGAATGTATCACACATCAAAATCGGCTTTACAATCAATTCAAAAACGTTCACAATTGCACCGACTCAACCAGAGTGTCGTTCTATTGAAAAACACTTTACCAACACCAGAACATAATGATCATAATGATATACTGAGGACGCTAACTTGGTTAGCGAAATGCGCGTCGAGAGACCGTAATTTTTGTTCTGGTGTTGATTCATTTCACGCCAGAGGTTCCAGTACGAACTATCAGCTCACCTTGTCTTTTTCATTTTCCAAAATTGGTCTTGGAAATTATGAAATGTTTTGAAATTCTAGATCTTCATTCGTAACCTCGATACTCAGGTAATTTCTTCAAACTCACAATCATTGGTTTACTCATTGGACCGAATTAACTTCGGCAAGTCATCAATCCCAATAACGGGATTATCAATTCTCTCAACATTGAGGCCAAAAAGCATCTCATGGCTAAAATATGGTTGATGGAAGTTACCCCCAGTAACCAATTGATCTTCCTTATCTTACTTCATCATCATCAGGGACGTTTTGGACATAAAATTCTATCCAGAATTCCAGGATTGGGTTCTTGGATTGTATAACGGGTGCCTATTATACCCACTTCCTCACATCACAACAACAATCCACTCAGTAGAAAGTCCTGCTAGATTCATATACATTCTGCATTGCTTCTTTTGATGACTTCTATGAGTTTTTTCTGTACATTCTTGATATATGCTCACGCATATATTGACATAGTAACAGCTACATCCATCAATGAATTGATTAATTAATCATCAGCTTCATCTTCATCACGAACGAGTCTCTGTGATCAGCCGTGATGGCGTCATGGCGTCAGAATTCAGAGTGGGGACGGAGTGAGAGAGTAATAGATAGAGAAAAAGTGAATAGAGAATAGGAGAATAGAAACTCGGAGGGGGAAATAATATAGGTATCACACAGCTGCACGCAATAAACTTTATCGACGAATTTTTGTTATTTCGGCTTGCGGAAATCGTCAGATTATAAATTTTTCGTTAACCTTAACAACTTTGCTGCCCTCTCCTTTCTTTACGCCACTCTCAAATTGTCAGATTACTGGAATATACACTTTTCAGCAGGTAATTAACTCACCCTACCTTAATCTGACGCGCTCGAGAATTTCTGATGATCAATTTTTTTTGCTAATCTGATCCTTTATCCTTCACGGGCGGCCCTATATATGGGGCTCATATTTGGTGAAGGTACTCAACCGGGTACAAGGTATCCCCCTGTATATTAATCTGCTGCGCTTTAGTAAATCCCGAAATTCCCGCTTGGGCTCCCCTATTAGAATGTCAACCATTTGACTCTAATGGGCCGCCCATGCTCATGCTGTCATACAAAGACATCAGAATTAATTTATTGCAGTTTACTGCACAATTTATTTATTTCTTTCGAGCAAATTCGCTCCGCTAATGACCGAAGAAACTTGTACACGAACACATACATAATATTATCAAAGTTAATCATGAGTGACATGCATGAAGTCAAGCCCGCCAACTGTCTGAACAACCCACATAGACAACTTTTAAATCTTCGATAGACAGTCACCTGTGGGCCACACTGGCGTACTTCGACAACAAAGAAGAAAAAAACCTGCGAAATTCGGAGTGTGACGTAATTCTTATATAATGTTCGTATTAGTTGCGGCACCGGTTTATATGAAGCGGCAAATTTGAATTGAACGCTACAGAGTTCGCAGATCATTTTTAGCAAAATGTCTTATCAAGCAGAGAAAATAAATAGTTACAGACGCCTGAAGGTTATACACATCTGTTAATACCCGCAGTCCATCCTAATTTANCGAGAAAACTGAAATTTTCTATTCGAAAATGATAGTTTTGATATGGAAGAAACGTCAGTATATTTGATTTTTTTCCTTGATTGATTCCGTATATAATAAAACAACACATCGTCGTAAAATGCCGTTTTCCTGTCCTGAACTATAAATAAATGTTGATTTTTATGAGCGACGGCAATAAAAAATATTTATGTGTAACTACCACCGTAAAAATGGCGATGCACCCTTTATGGCCGTTTTAATTTTCTTAGGTGAAAGATAAATTCATATGTGTGATTCTGGAAGACACTTATGAGAAAAAAATGTTTCTAATGAGGAATATGCTGTGCTATCTTTACATATATACAGTGGGCCAATTGAAAGGAACAAGTCCGATTTCTCATAGTATTTTGAGTGGAAAACTGCAAATTATTAATGTTATTGATGGCCAAGCAATACCTCGTTTTAAAAGTCATCGATTCTCTTTCCAGCGCCTCTTACTTTTCAAATTGTAGTAAAAAGTAAAACCAGTTTGCTATTTCCGTTTAAAGGTGAAGTGACAAACATTTCACATTCTTTTATATCCATTTGATATTTCATAATATTCCAGTCGTTCCTCTTTCGGCTTATTGATTGATTGAACTTCATTATGCAAACGGCAGGTACGCTAATATTACAGCACAGCTGTTCAATAGCTCGAGTCCGAATAAGCAACTTTACCAAAAATTCGGCAGGATTGGTTACAAATACAAACGAAACCATCCAAAGGGAAAAGTGGAGAAAGAAGTTAAAGAAGACGTTGTTTGCCACGTCAGCATTAATCTTACGCTGTGTGCCAGTTTGTGTGTTCATATATTTCATCCGTATGAAATTCATTAAATGTAATGTTCAGTTCTTGTTTTTCATATTAGTGTTTATTTTGAAAACTCTAACAGGTGTGAATTTCAGGGCCTTGCCATCCTGAGAAATTACCTTTTTCTGTTAGCTGAATCGATTGAGGAAGATATAGTGGCCGCAAGATCATCCGATTTGAATCCGTTTGATTTTTGTTGGATCTCTTTCAGAAAATGTATGGAACTAACAAAGCAACTCAATATTATATACTGTATGTACACAGTGTGTTAGTCAAAACATGCTTAGAAAAAATTCGGTTAGAAAATTTTCAGTTGGTTCGTTCTACAAAGGGACAAGGTTGAAAAATTCGAAAGGATTTAACCAAAAGCTTTTGCGTCAGTTTAAATTATAATAGCCTATTTACGAAGCCAAAATGGTTTACCTTTTTGCATTTGGTTATGTTCGTTCATTTTTGACTCGTATCCCTGTTTGTTGATCCCCATCGTGTTCCTCGTCCAATTGGGGTAGTCGTCCTTTACATGTTGGCCACATTGCTGAAAAAAGGAAAGGAAACATTAAAAATGAAATTATTACAACGATCACTAGTCCAATGGATTCAGTTTGCAAATTTTTGAAAGCAATAATGAAATAATATGGTCTAACTTGAGAAACCAAATGAATAATGTTTCAAAAAAGTAGAAAGGATTTATAACCGACTTATATTGTAGGTCACATAATTAGAAATACATTATTCAAACACATTGAAATTTTGTTGCAAATTCAGAGAAGCTGTAAATTTCTTCATGAATTTTTATTACGTAGCTTCATTATAGACCCAATTAAGAGTAGATCATTCGACGTTATTTGGAAATTATTTTGGTTTAAAAATATGGAATGGTTTCGTTTAGTATGAATATTCATAAATATCCACATCTCTGGGAAGATTGCTTTTGATCTTATTAATATACAGTCAGGTCAAAGCTCATCAAATATAGAAAAGACAGCCTCGGCGAAACATTCTTAATAGCCTATGTGTTTTTGTGCCAGAAATGCCTTCTGTGCAAGGATATACGTTCCTCATCAAAGAATACCATGAACTAGTTTTAAGCTATATTTTGGCAACATAGAAGTTCCTCGGACACCAATGAATGGAAAACATCCACACAATCGAATTTGATGAATTTTTTGCTGAATTTTTAGATTAAACTCGTAATATGTTACCCAGCAATTTAATGGATCAGCTCCTAGTAATACTTATGATATCGAAATTAATTGTGAGAAGGTTCTTGATCAGACTCTGTCTTGTATCGAAGATACAAAGCTTCTGAAGTAAGATACACAATCAAGTCCAAGTCCTTGGCTCAAATCGCATATTAAAATATTCTTCATCATTCTTTAACGGGACAAAGTCAGGTGCCACACCTTTTTTCCAACAACCAATTATCTCAGCACTCAAAAACTTGAATCAATAGATTACCCGCGGTATAATACTGATTTGGCACCAATTGACTTTTTTACTGCCCTGCATTCCACAATCGTTTTGGAGGTGTTTCAAGAGAAAAATATTTTTAAAAACAAAGTCGAATTCAATTACAAATTACTGATTTTTATCATTAAACTCAAAATGGAAATACTGCCCTTGTTTATGATTTAATTCTCCAATCGTTACACTGAATCGTGTTATTTTCCAAACTCAGTATGGAAAATTTCGACCTTGTGAATGGCACGAGTCCATGTATGTGTGGTATGTCAGATAAAAGCAACCATGTTGGGTCTAATAGCATTCAAAATGTGATATCAAATGCATTAGTATAATTGGGTGCTGAAATAAATACAAATGAGAAAATGAATTATTTATGATAAGAATTTCTATTTTTATAACTTCGATTCAGGAAGGAAATCAGTTTGAGAATTCCGATGAAACTTTATCTTCTAAAAAATTCAACAAATGACCAGTGTTCTCTGCTCATATTCTTGAAAATTCACGGATTATAATATAAGTGATAATAAATATTTATACAACGGATTGATTTGAAGGAAGCCTCTACGGCTGAAGGTACACAGGTCGAAACACTCTGGTTCGCAATGTTGTTTATACAAAGAGTAAATAATGTTTTGTATGGCCAGCCTAAAGTCATCAAACATTCAGATGTTCTACGTTCAGGTATCGACCTCGAAGAAATAGGATTTTTTAAAATCAAAAGATCCCAGTCGACTCTAAAGGCTTCAAACGATCTGAATCAACGATCTATGGAAGCTCGACCATGTTGCGGATGATGAGTTTCTACATTTTATAAGGTTTCACATTTTTTACTTAACAGTATTTTTTTTGAAACTGCCTCTTTGACTATCAACACTGATTGCCATTTTTGGCTCGAAAAATTCATCATTGCTCGCCAAAATGATCTGCTAGATCATATTCGGATAACACCACCTTGTTGAGAAAAGAAGAAGATTTTTTGAAAGGTTTATAAAAAACCATATTTCTTTCAACGCCATCTTACTGTCACATTCCTTTGTCACATTCCTTTTGTCACTGTCGCACCACGCCTTAGTAAAGATTGAAAATTAATGTAGTCCTTCTTTCTTTTCCTTAATTGCTTCCTTGAAACACTTCTCAGATGCTCTCTGCAAGCTCGAAAGAAGTATCAATCCACGAATTTCAGTGATAAACGAGGCTCCGAAAGGCAGTCCGTTGAAAAGCTAAGCTTCAACATCGACCTCCAATAAAGCTAAGCTTCAACATCGACCTCCAATAAACCTAAGCTTCAACATAGATCTCCAATAAAGATTCGTCCTCTGTGTTTTTCTGAAGTTTTCACTCCTATCTTCACCTAGTAGAACTTTATAATGTACTGAATTGAAGGTGGTCCGTTAAAAAGGCAAGCTTCAACATCGACCTCCAATAAAGCTAAGCTTCAACATCGACCTATAATAAAGCTAAGTTTCAACATCGATCTCTAATGAAGCTAAGCTTCAACATAGATCTCCAATAAAGATTCGTCCTCTGTGTTTTTCAGCAGTTTTCACTCCAATCTTCACCTGGTAGAACTTTGTAATGTACTGAATTGAAAGCGATCCGTTGAAAAGATAAGCTTCAACAACGACTTTCAACAAAGTTAAGCTTCAACATCGACCTCCAAAATAAAGCTAAGCTTTAACATAGATCTACAATGAAGATTCGTCCTCTGTATTTTCTGCAGTTTTCACTCCGATTTCCACCTAGTAGAACTTTGTATTGTACCGAATTCATACATGACACCCATAAAATAAAAAACCCAGCGAGGAGAGAAACACGAATGTTTTGAATCTAAACCTGAGCCTTGTTCAGTATTGAAAAATATTTCCAGTGAAATTTCAGATGAGTTGTGCCTAAATTCCGTTGAATCACTTTAGGTTTTTTCACAATACGAAAATAATAATAATAATATTTATTTGTAGTTCCTCATTACATATAAATACAATGAATATTCAATCTATAAAAATGATAAAAAAAACTACATATAAGGCTAGAAACAACATGTACCGGAAGGATACTGTTGATCTTAGTTTTAGCCTTGAAGAAAAGAAAACTAAACAAGAAAAAAAGAGGAAGGAGAGAGAGGGAGAGAAAACATCATTCAATTTTTGATTAGCAGTAGCAACGTCATTAGGGGTAAATGATAGATATAGTTGAGGATCATCCGCATACATATGTGAATTACAATGTCTTAAAACAGAAAATAGATCACAGGTGTATATGCAAAATAATAAGGGTTCAAGTATAGATCCCTGAGACACTCCAATTTTAATAAATTAACTGCTTGATTTTCCCTTCGAAGTTTCTGCAAACTGTGAACGATCTTTAACATAGCTTTTGATTAAATTTATAGCAGGTTTAGAGAACCCGATGAAGTTCAAAATTGCAAATGAAATTGGATAACTAATAGCATCAAAAGCTTTGGAGAAGTCTATAAGTATCAAAGCAGTCGTGTTACCTTTGTCTGCAGCTTCGAAAATAGCATCAGTTATTTTCAAGAGAGCAGTTGTACAGTTGTGTTCTTTACGAAATCCCGACTGGTTGACTGGTAAAATATTAAAGGAATTTAAAAGGCATTTGATTTGAAAACTCATTATTTTTTCCAATACTTTTGAACAAGTAGGTGCACGACAAATGGGGCGCAGATCGTTAAGAGTATTTGGATTAGATATTTTAGGAAGTGCCGGTATTGGATCAAGATTAACAACGAATTTAGCACTATTTGATAGTATATGTATACACTAGAGATACTGCGGTGCAAATTCCAGCTATTTACTTCAATCAACAACAAAATTGCAGAATTTTTGAGCCGGTACATGACACTAGACTTTTGGAGGCTTTTAAGAGTCTGGATATAACAAATTGTGACATGAGAGCTATGAACAGTTACAAAGGTCTCATTCCAAACCTTTGGTGTAGTAATGAATTTTACTGGAATTTTCACCAACACCAAACCGTTATTTTAACACCACGACACGTGTTTCGATCACCAAGTAATCATCTTCATGAGGAATATCAAACAGTTTGATGTTCCACTTACTTAGTTGGTGAAACGCCAGTCAAATAGAGTATTGCTGTTCCGGTGTTTGGGAAAAGTGCTTGTTTTCCAGCTAGAGTTCCGAAGGATTTCATTATACTATAAAAAAAATCTTCTATTCACAACGAATTGGAACCTTTTACCCCAGTGTTGTTTTTTTATGACTATCATAAAATGTATGTATTCAGAGTACACTGTAATCAATTAACCGTCCCAAAGAAAAAGCTCCATCAATGATAATGAAGGAGCCGCTCAAAAATCGCCGGTTCAAAGGTGGGATCGTGGTGGGGATCATGACCTTGCCGTTGCCATTGACAACGAGACATGTTTACTCTCTTCTCCCCGTCGATGTTGTCTTCTTTCCAACCTGGGAAAAATATGTACGGCAATTTATCACAGATTGAATTATTCAAAGTACAACACGACGCATTACGGGGCACGGAGAAAGACAAGACGCTTGGCGTCACGCTCGCCGTGGCGCAACGGACAGACGTCTAATGTCAATTGTTTGTTCGCCTACTGCGCGTATTGTTGTCTATTAGATATTGAAACTTAGAAAATGTATTTGGTTTGCTGACAAACTGAAGAGTTTTAAAGTTTAAAAAATTAACCTAACTAATCCTAAAACATAAATCTATATCACACAGTTTTTGGCATTTGTTGGGTTACTTGAATATTCAACAACAACAAAAATAGAAAAGAGTAATAAGGAAGATAACGAGAAATAAATACTTGTCAAACACAGGGTGGAAAACAAGAGGGAAATACGAAAGAGAAATGCATCAAATTGTGTTAACTTGCAGACAACTTTGAAGTTCTTTTTTGGATTTATCAATATTATTGTGAAATATTACTGGAAATCTGAGGTCTTTTGTTGTGTGCATGTAATTACATTTCTGTTTCTTAGATTTATGTTGTGTACGTCTGTCCTGGAAGGATATAGTAATTTAGTGCACCATAGGCTCTTTGAATATTTTGATTGATATGTTATCTAAACC